CAGAAGCACAAAAGAGGGAAAACTTCTCATCACCATGGAGAAAGACCAAGCAGCACTACAAAAAATAAAAACTGCCCTTGGAACAACAGAGGAAGGTCTCAGAGCATTCCAAATAGGAGAAGAACACATAACGGAAACCATACATATAAGAGGCATGGCAGAGGATGCCACGACGGAGGAGGTTATCGAGGCATTCCAAGAGCAAATAGGTAAGTGGGAAGACCACTACAAGATAGGAAAGATGCGACCACTGAGGGGCAACACCCTTGCCACAACAATTGTCATCCCGGCGAGAGTAGCTAAAATACTTTTGCGCAGAGATTTTCTCAGAGTTGGGGTATGTAGATGCAGAGTCGAGAAAAGACTAAAAATAAAAAGATGTAGCAGATGTTGGGCATACACGCATGACACCGATAAATGTCGAGGCCCTGATAGGAGTGGTATGTGTTACCGTTGCGGTAAATCAGAGCACGAAGCAGAGAAGTGTCAAGAGGAAGAAAGGTGCGTTCTTTGTAATGACGCCCATAGAACTGGCAGCATGGACTGCACACATTTTAAGAAGGCCCTTCAGGAGGCGAGATATCATGAGAAACTTAGAAAACAGCAAGAAGAATACGCGGATGTCTTCCCTCCTACGCTCACTCCCATACCTCCTTTCCCTTCTCCAAACAAGGTTCATGTTAACTCCCTTTTGGAGTCCTCCAAATCTCTATGCGACGAAGCTACAGCTACCTTTAGTGTAGTGACGTTGTCACAGGGAGTCCTGACAACTTCAGTCTAAGTGCCTGTTCCGTCATCCTATGTGACCTTTAACACATGATACTAAGGTAATGATTTCAAAATGGCTTTAACCGGGTTAAAAAGACTAAAAATTCTACAAGTGAACATCGGAAGAGCCAAGGTTGCACATGATCTGATTCATGCGAAAGCCCTCGAAATTGGAGCAGATATTCTAATAGTACCTGAACCAAACAAGAGAATCATCCAAAATAGCAGATGGATTGCAGACAACAGGGAAGATGTAGCAATATACCCCATAAATCATAAAGTGTGCATAAATAAGATTATAAAAGGGGAGGGGCACGTACTAATCAAATTAGAAAAAGTAGCTATTATTGCCTGTTATATCTCACCCAACATAGGTAGAGATCAATACAAACAGCACATTGAATCCATAATACAAATGTCACATATAGAAAAGAATTTTATAGTCGCTGGCGACATAAATGCTAAATCTATCTTATGGGGTTCCCCACGAAATGACTATAGAGGTGATTTATGGAACGAATGGATCTCTACGGCCAATCTAACAGCGCTAAATAATGGAAAACCTACTTTTGTCCGGGGTGAAAGCCGAAGCCACATAGACATTACCCTCGTAAACGAAAGTTATGCCAATCAAATATCTAACTGGGACGTTCTTGACGAAAACATTTTTACTTTTCACAGATATATTGTTTACGAGATTGGCATCAAGGTCACGAAGAGCGGTAGGAAAAAGATAAGTTTTAACAAAGACCTATTTAAAAATAAAATTAGCAACCTACGAGAAGAAGCTACTAACTTCACAAACTACCATAAAAACCTAATACATGCATACAGAAGCAGCAGCAAGGAAAAATGTGTCACATATACTGTACCCTATTGGTGGAACGACGAGATACAGCTTAAAAGAACAAAATGTTTCAGAGTCAGGCGAATAGCACAAAGGAACAGGACCCAAGAAAACTTGGAAGAATATAAGCGCGTAAAGAAAGAACTAAATAAAGAAATAAAGCGGGCTAAACGCACATGCTGGCAGAACCTGTGTGACACGCTGGACAACGATATATGGGGTGAAGCCTATAAAATTGCCACTAAGACACTGAGGTCCGAGGCTCCATATAACCTTTGTGTAGAAAAAAGAAAGGAAATTGCGAAAGCCCTTTTTCCTAATAAGCCCGAATGCCAATTTCTACCATATACTCTAGATAATAGACCTGACGAGTTCACCATAGATGAAATAAGATTAGCTGCCGAAAACATAAAAATCGGGAGATCCCCTGGCCCAGATGGTGTGCCACCAGAAGCCATACATATTATGGTACAGGAAAATCCTGAAGTCACCAGAAAGGTATTAAATGAGCTCCTACACAACCAAGAATTCCCAGACCAATTGAAGATTGCAAATTTAGTCTTAATCTTAAAACCTGGTAAACCACCAGACGGGCCTAGTTCATACAGGCCTATATGTTTATTAGATTGTATTGGGAAATTCTATGAAAGCCTCATAAAACGCCGCCTTGAACAGGAGCTCTTAAACACAGGAGCTATTTCTGACCAGCAATACGGTTTTAGAAAAACACGATCAGCTATAGACGCGGTAAAATTTATATGTGATACAGTCAAACAAACAAGAAATAAATGGGCAATCCTTGTTATGTTCGATGTAAAGAATGCCTTCAATTCTGCCAATTGGGCATACATCATAAGGAAACTGGAAACCGCTGGAGTGTCAGACTACCTAATAAATATAATTAAAAATTACCTCACCGACAGATATATTAAAGTGCAAACAAAGAAAAAACAAAACTATCGGCTGGAGTACCGCAGGGATCTGTATTAGGTCCAACGTTGTGGAACGTCTTGTATAACACAGTATTGGAAATAGATTACGGCAGAGGTGCGTCAGCAATTGCATATGCAGATGACTTAGCAATACTAATAGAGGGTGACACAAACTTGGATGCAATAAATAAAGTTAATATATGCTGGAGAAAAGTTAATAGGTGGATGACAACTAACGACTTACAGCTGGCGTGTAATAAAACAGAGATAATTATATTAAAAGGGCCTAGAGCGATACCCAACCTGACTTTCCAATTTGCAAGTACGACGATAGTCCCAACCAATTGTGCTAAATATCTAGGCATACACCTTGATACAGGTCTACGATTTACCAAACACCTGATAAATGTAGTCCAAGCAGCAGAACGCAGAACAGCGGCCATTATGAAAATAATGCCTAATATAGGAGGGCCAAGTAATTATAAAAGAAGAATGTACTTGCAAATAGTGCATTCGACCCTTTTGTACGGTGCCCCCGTATGGATTGAAGTCTTAAGGTTTGCCAGGTACAAAGACTTGATTACAAAAGCTCAAAGAAAGCCCCTTCTTAAAGTAGTTAGTGCGTACCGGACTACATCTACGATAGCCTTACAGGTGATTGCTGGTACGCTCCCCATTCACCTCCTAGCGAAAGAAAGAGCCATCCTATACAATAACGGCAACGGCCACCTGACACAGGTAAGAGACGAAATTAGGAACCAGATCCTTGATGAATGGCAATCTGAATGGGAGGCACAAAGGGAAAAAGCACAATGGACTAAAATACTAATACCCGATGTAAAAGCATGGTACAAATGTAGGTTCAAGAGAATAAACTATTTCTTTGCACAATTCCTGACCGGACACGGTTCTTTTAGGTCGTATACATACAGAATTAAAAAAACAAATGACGATATCTGTATGGATTGTGGTGTGACTGATGACGCGGAACATTGCATTTTCGAATGTAATGTCTTTCTACAAGAACGTCAAAGACTGAGAATTAAGCTAGGAGAGGCCACGCCCAATAATATACTGGACTTAGCTATGCAGAACAGAAAGAACTATGATTATGTGTTAGAAATAATAACGGAAATCATAAAAAAAAAGGAGACGCTAGAAAGAGCGAGACAGGATGAAGGAATAGGCTGAAAGACTAATAAAATAATTGTAATTCGCGTTTTTTGCTCATTAGACACATACTTCAGCGTTCTGTACTAATTTTATAGTGTAACTGTCCTATTTATTTACTTATATTGTTTTTTATACTGTCATTATGTCACTCAGCTACCTTTGAGACTATCTACCGAGGACTATACTAGGTTTTCGTGAAAATTGGAGACCGCGGTGGTGCTCCCGAAGTTGCATTCGCCAAGAAAAGTTCCGGGTGCGCTGCTGGAAGAGAGGGTGAGTTTAGTTGGTAGGCGCCTGAACTAACCTTATCAACATTCCAACGTTATAGTTCAGACGAATCCAACAGTATCTGGGTCCTCTTCCCAGATCTCTTTAGAAGATTCTCATCCAAAAAAAAAAAAAAAAAAAAAAAAAAAAAAAAAGTCGATTCTCCACGGAAATATAAATAGCAAAGGTGACTGGGAAGAAAACATATTTGGTAGCTGCCAAGTTTACAAAAATTGTATAACATGAGCACCACTGAGCTGTTTTGACTATAAACTATCTATTTTCTAATGAGAAGACTTCCTATATGGCTGTAATATTTGTAATGTGATCACTTAGTCACATAGTTTCTTTACTTTTCCACTTTTATACAGATTTTTTTACACTGTAGATGCAGATTTTTAAGTTATTTTCCTTGGTTCATTGCTTGTTTAGATTTTGTGAGTTTCGTCTGATGTATTTCGCTTTGTATTAAATAACAATATTTTTTGCGGGATATCAGTTCCATGATCAACTTCCAAACTCAAACTCTTCTATTAGGGTTGCCATGCCTTAGTCCTTTTTGCATTTGTTATTCCATTTCCCAACTACTATTTACTTCCTGGGAAGGCACTAGAATGATTAGACTAACGCGTTATGTTTCAAAGGTATTTCTTAACATTATACCTACCTGAAAGTATAGGAGATATGAGAAACTGGTTGATTCTTTACCATTATACTGAATTAGAAATGCAAGGCCATTAACGGTAATGTCTTTGTTCCTTCTATTTTATCTCCTAACTCAGTATTAACGAGACTCATAAACATAAAAGCATGAAAGGAATCAATCAGAGACTAAGTTAACAGTTTTATTAAGGGCACAAACACAATTCAACCTGAAGATGGGTGGGAAATAGATTAAGCAATCAATTAAATTTTAAATATTTATGTTTTATTGTTAATATGAGTTACCTATATGTGTTAATTTACATAACAATACGAGTATAACATAATATAACATTGATTGTAATTTTTAGGCTAACCTGCCAAAAAATTGTTCAAAATAAAAGTACCGGAGATATATCTTCATTTCCATTTGTAAGTGGTTGTTTGTCAACTAGTTTATGGCTTCGATATGGATTTTTAATTAATGACAGTTCCATAATATTAGTGAATACAGTGGGGGCTACATTATTTTTTGCCTATGTTTTGACCTTTTATTTATACAGTATCAATAAGGTAAGTTTTACTGTTTTCCTAAAAAAATATTACCGAATATATTAATATAATTGAACTGGTGAGTGGGAAAAGGGTTTAAGTCCAAAAATGCAAAATTTACTGAAAATGGAAGAAGATTTTTGTTTAAAAAAGGAAGGAGCATTTAGTGTTAGTGGGTACAACTCATTTAGCTTGATACTTGAAATTGTTTAATCTAAAAATAATATCATAAACAGTGTCATACATGTCTGATATACCTTGGACTTATACCCTTTCTTCCATTAATTTGTTTTTTTCGATATTTATTCTTCTGTTTTGTTCTGTTTAGTTCTATTTCTGTAAAATACAAGTGATAACTAAAGAGTCCTACAACTACAACATTTTTGGAAATTGTAACTTTCTACGATAAAATATGGTAATAGAACTGCAACTCTTCATCATTTACATATTGTAAAATACTTCTTGTCGTGATTTTTTTATCATTAATATGTAATATTTTGGAATATGTTTTAAAATTATTTTTTTACATATTATTGAATTCAAAAACTGTGTTCTCTCAAAATATTTTGATATCCTAGCAGCTAAGGAAATTTGGCTTATATATTTCATTACTGATAAGAATATAATTAGAGATGGGTATAATCCGATAAGAAGAGATAAAAGTGGAACTGGGAGAGGAGTGGCAGTTTATATTAAATCTCAAATTAAATATAAAACTACTAACAAATAGTAACAATATTGAACACCTTTTCTTGGAATTATTCTTACGTAATAATGTAATAAACCCTTCAAGTCAATGTACAGGACAAAAAAGAAAAGGCCCCCAGTGCCCAGCACTTCCCAGAGTCTTGATCACGGCAGCGATCAAACAACTAACGGAAGGGGGGTGCTAAGAATCTATGGGTAAGACCCGGCTGCCACAAGATGACAATTTGGCTATGCTCCTACAATTATTCGAACACTGACGGACGACAATAGATTCCCAGAAATAGAAAGTGAACTAAAGGATATAAAATGGATATCCTTGGTATATGCGAGACCAGAAGAAAAAGAGATGAGTATATAATACTAAAAAATGGCACACATTTTATGCATAAAAGTGGCGAATACACTGGAGTGGGATTCTTGGTAAAACAAAGCCTCACACAGTGTATCGAAGTATTCAAGCCCATATCAGACAGAGTAGCATATCTCATCAGGATTAATAAAAGAACCACTCTGAAAGTGATCCAAGTGTACGCTCCGACCAAAGCCACGACGATGAAGAAGTAGAAATATTTTATGATGAAATAAGAACAGCTATAGAAACAAATAAAGCAAATTACGAAATACTATTAGGAGATTTTAATGCTAAATTGGGCAAAAAGAGGAAGATTATGAACATTTAATTGGTAACTATGGCTACGGAAAAGAAACGATATAGGAGAAATGCTTCTCAATTTCATGAATGAACATAACATGTACTCAATGAACTCCCTTTTCAATAAAAAACCAAGCAGAAAGTGGACATGGATGAGTCCTGATAAAAAGACAAAGAGTGAAATAGATTATATTTTAACGAAGAATATAAACCTAGTAGAAGACGTATCAGTATTAAATCAGTTTGACCTAGGAAGCGATCATAGACTAATAAGAACAAAACTAATAATTAACAAAAAAAGATACAAATGGACATCTGAAGAAATCAAAAATAGTGAATTTAATAAAAAGATAGTGCATGCATTAAATCAAGTTAGCAAGCAGCAGATAAACTCCAATGATATTGATGATTTGAATAACCTTATTACCGAAACAGTGAATAAAAGCCTTCTGCAACTGAAAAAAAAACAACATAGGTACAATGAATTAGACAAAGAAATATTACAACAAATAGAAAGAAGGAAGATCTTAATTAAATCTAACAAAAGGGGAACCGACGAATATAGAGAACTTAATAGGCAGATTAGAAAAGACATTAAAAAAGAAAAGAAAACGAAAAATTAATAGCAACAACTATTGAAAAAAATAAGAGTATGAAATACCTCAGACCGACACTAGGACGACGTCAGATGATATCATTAATGGGAACAGACGAAAATGAAATCACAAGTAGAGAAAACATACTGACACGAATAGAAGAATTTTACACAGAACTTTACAGATCACATCAACAAGATCATGAGATGAGACCAGCACGGAAATTAATAAAAAATGTTGGATCAGAAATAATGCCAAAAGTAACAATTTCAGAGGTAACTACAGCATTGGAAAACATGAAGAGAGATAAAGCTGCAGGAGAAGATAGTATTACCACAGATATGATATTAGAAGGAGGTAAGGAACTAATTGCAATTGTAACTAAGTTTGTGGACAGTTGTTTACATCAGGGCTCTTTCCATCGCGTGTTGAGTGACTCTAAGTATATTCATATTCTTTTTGTGATTGTCCATGTTTGTGCCGCATAAGTTAATATCGGAATAATGCATGCATCAAAAACTTTAGATCTAAGATGTAATTGAATTTGTTGATTTCTGAGTATATAGTTCAGTTTACCGAATGCTGCCCAAGCCAACTTTTTTCTTTTTATTTCTTCAGTCTGAATTTCTCTATTTAGGATTATTTTTTTGTCCCAAGTATATATATTCTTCAACTTTTTCTATAACTTTATCGTTTATTATTGTCACGGTGTCTTCGGAGTGCATGAATTTTGTTTTGTTTAAATTCATTTTCAGTCCTATTTTAGAAGATTCGGTATGAAGTTCTACAAGCATGGTTTGCATTTCTTGTAGGTCAGTAGCTATCAGGATTATGTCATCTGCAAATCGTAGATTACTGAGGTAGCGGCCATTGATGTTTATTCCCTTATATTTCCAATTTAGGTTTTTAAAAACGTCCTCCAAAACTAAGGTGAACAGTTTGGGTGATAAAGTATCTCCCTGTTTGACTCCCCTGTTTATTGGTACAGGGTTCGTGTGTTCATTTTCATTTAGGTAGTATGTAGCTGTAGCTTGGTTCATAGTTTCTTTTATTAAGTTAATATATCTGCTGTCTATTCTACAATTTTGCATTGCGTTTATTACGGCCGTGTGTTCTATGGTATCGAAAGCTTTTTCGTAGTCTACAAATGCAAGGAAAACTGGAAACTTGTATTCGTTACATTTTTCTATTAATATTTTTGTGGTTAACAGGTGATCGGAAGTTGAATAGCCTATTCTAAAACCTGCCCGTTCATATGGTTGGTATTCGTCTAATTTCCTTGTTAGTCGAGTGGTTATGACTTTGGTGAGTATTTTAAACAGGTGTGACAGTAGGCTGATGGGTCTGTAGTTTTCCAATTTTCGACTATCACCTTTCTTGTGCAATAAGATTACTTTAGAGTTGTTCCAGCTCTTAGGGACTTTGCCCTGATGTAAACAACTGTCCACAAGCTTAGTTACAATTGCAATTAGTTCCTTACCTCCTTCTAATATCAAGCAAGATATTGGTCGGTAATTCTCGATGTTTGCTCTGTTTCCTTTCTTGAATAGTAAAATGACCTCGGAGTTGTACCATTCTTGAGGAATCTTTCGTTCATTAATTACTTTATTAAATAAAACATTTAATACCTGTTCCATTTTTCTGCCACCAATTTTCAACATTTCAACTGTAATCTTATCCTCTCCCGGACATTTATTCGTTTTAAGTTGATTTAGGGCCATTCTTATTTCATTGTCGGTTATGTCCGGTATTTCTTCTGAGCCGGTGTTAATTATTGTTCGTTGAGTACGTCGTTGTTGTGGTTGTGTATTTACCGAGTATAGTTTAGTGTAGAATTTTTCAATGGCCTCGCTTATTTCCTTTCTGTCTCTGACGGTGACGTTTTTCTCATTTTTTATTTCTATGATTTTTGTTGTACCGCTTGAGGTTTTTGCTTTGAGTACTTTCATGTTACAGTTATCTTGTATTATATTTTTTATTGGATTGTTATTATAGTTTCTATGATCGTTCCTGATTTCTTTCTTCACATTTTTGTTTAAACTTTTAAAGCTGTCCAAAGTTCGATCTGTTCTGTTTCGTCTTTCTTGGAGTAGTTTAATTGTATTAGGTTGGAGCTTATATGTTTTGGCTGTTTTCGTGTTTGAGCATAATTTCTTAACCGATGTTGTTACAGTTACTTTTATTTTAGTGGCTAGTCGTTTATTGATACTTACTTTAAATATTATGAAAAGACAAAGGGACAAAGTACTGAGTTCATACAAAAAATACAAAAACATGCACACTTGGGAGGAATACAAAACGATTAGAAATATAATTATTTTTTAGTTGTCAGAAGAGAAAAAAGGCTTTCTATTAAAAAAAATTGTATAGTAAAAACGGGAGAGATTTTTGGGATTTCTTAAACATAATCGGTCTTGGTAGAGATACTCAAATGACTACGCAACTATCATAAAATTTAAGTGATATTTCTGCAATGAATGAATACTTTATAAATTGTGTTTCTACCATGGATCCTGATTTAACACTTTACTTTTATAATAATAATTGTCATGTGGACATTGGTGCAAATTGTTCTTTTTACTTGTTTATGTACCACTGTATATTTTTTATGCACTCGCCCGCTGTGCTTGTTTTCTGCTATCATTTAATTTTTTTTTTCTTATGTCAATTTCTTTCCAGATATCTTCTGGAATCCAATCATTTCTCTTGAGATTTCTTTATAAGCAGTTTTATTTCTTCCAATCTCCCACTATGTCTGCCTTTTATAGATTATGAAAAAGCTTTTGATAGCGTAGAACTGTGGGCAATAAAAGAAGCATTAGTCAACAACCGGATCGACTCTAGGTACAGAATATTAATACATAATATTTACGAACAAGCTGAAATGATAGTGACGTTGGGTAATGGAATCGAAACAAGGCCAGTAAAAATCAAACGAGGAGTAAGACAAGGAGACACAATATCTCCAAAATTGTTTACAGCTGCCCTAGAAGATATCTTTAAGTCAATGGGCTGGGAAAATAAGGGAATTCCTATTAACGGAAGATACTTGAACCATCTTAGAT